AGCTACGGCGCGGGGTCTGCAACCCGGGGCACAGTACGCGGGTATCCCACTAGGCTCCCGTGGTCCCGGAAGCCGTTCTGGCTGCGCAGAGTCCGACCTTTAGCCGCCGGCCCCGCGGTGCCGCACGGTGGGTCCGAGTGCGGCCCACACCGGGGTCAGCTTCGCTGGGCGCCCGCTGTGTACCCGGCGCGTGCGGGCCGTGGGAGGCCTCGAACCAGATACGGGGGGGACGGATGCGGAGTATCTGTGCCAAGCCGGAAACCGGAGGTATCCCGGAGCTGATGAAAGATGGTCCTCTCTCATTTGGGCCAACTCTTGTAGAGGCCTCGAGGGGTCATAGGAGGAGCCCTTTCCCCGCTTGACTTCAGAGCCTGCCTGCAGTAGGGCCGATCTTCTCGAGCCACCTGCTGTGAATCAGAGCCTCCTGGGCTGGAGCCAAGTTCTCCCACAGGGAAAAGTTGGAACGTTGCTGGTGCGGCTCGACCGTGCGCAGAGAAGGTTGTGGTCTGTTCCTGGGGCAGTAGCTAAAGACGCGCATCTAGAGAAGCGGCAGGGCTCTGGCAGCAGGAATTGCAGAAAGGTCGTGAGGTGGACCATGCACGGTGTTTTAGGTGTCTGCGGGGTCTTGGGAGCGTCGGTGTGACTCTGCCACCTTCTGCAGTCTGGGTAGATCTCACCGTTCTTTTTTTTTTATTTTTTGAGTCAGGGTCTGCGTGTCGCCCAGGCTGGAGTGCTGTGGCACGTTCACGGTTCACCGCAGTCTCGGCCTCCTGCTCAGGCAGTTCTTCTGCCTCAGCCTCCGAGTAGCTGGGACTACAGGTGTGCACCGTCACACCCGGCTGTTTTTGTTGTAGAGAAGAGGCTATGTTGCCCAGGCTGGTCTTGAACTCCTGGCCTCAAGCGATCCTCTCTTAAGCTTCCTGAAGTGCTGGGATTACAGGTGTGAGCCACTGTGCCCGGCCTGATTTCTCACCATTCTTTGGCTTCCTGCTAGCAGATCTTTTTGCAGGCACTGTATTTCTGTCTTGCACCCTTGATTTCGAGAGGTCTTCCGATCTAGAAACCTTTCAGATTCAGTTAAGATACTGCAGCATCTCTGATTTCTCCTGTCTCAGGGTGTTTTAAGAGTAAGTGCATAGCGTATACCACTTAGACCAGTGCCTCACAGGGAACCAGTCAGTGCATGAGGTTTGTTACTTGTTAGAACTGGCAGTCTGCCTTTCTGCTATGAGGATGAAGATGTGGATGTGGAAGGCTGCGGTGCAATAGGGAGGGGAGGGCATAGCCTGCAGAGGTGAGCAGAGGGCAAACCTCAGCTGAGTGACTGGGTCAAGTCCCCTAAACTCTGAGCCTTAGTTCTCATCTCTGAATGGCATTGGGGACAAAGCGTTTGCTGAGGGCCTGACATGTTAGCATACAGTAGTCACTCAGTACTTAAAACAGGCATGGGCGGCCACCTGTGCCCAGCTCTGAGCTAGGCTCCTGGTACACAGAAATGAAGAGAACATGGTTCCCACCTTCCTGCCTGGAGCGGAGGAGGAAGTGTGGTCTGCTTTATGGCCAGGCCTAGGCCCTGGGGCTTGAAGATCTGGGGAGTTCTGTGGGGCTTAAAGTCACGTGGAAGTGCAACCTAGAGAGGCACTGTACTTGTGGTCATCTGAGCTGGTGGCCCAGCTACACAATGGGTGGGGCAGACAGGGTGGGGAACTGTGTCCTAATGCTGGGTGGCTTGTCCTGTGCCATTCACAGTTGTGGATCAGGGCTTGGAGGGATGAGGTCCTTGGCCAAGGTCCCTCTGCAGGGCAGAGCTGACTTCCAAGCCCACTCCCATCCCCTCTTCCAGCTTTGACCTCAGCTAGATGGAGTGCTCTGGGGGGGGCATGGTGTTGCGGCTGTGCTCCTCAGAGTATCTCAGAGTTCGCTGGTGTGACAGATGGGACCCCAACTTACAGGGTCTTCTTTTAACAGGCTATGGGACATGGAGCGCTGGACCTGCCAACACCCAGGGTAAGTGGGCTCTGCTTTGTGGGTGAGGTGTGGGCTCCCCCCCACCCAGACTCCTGCATGACAAAGCCAAGCCTGATGCTTGCCAGGGTTGAGGGAGAGTCATAGCCCAGGGTCAGCAGACCTTTTCTGTAAAGGGTCAGATGGTAAATATCCCTGTGGCTTTGCTGGCTGCACAGTCTCTGTAGTGCAAAGGCAGTCACAGATGTGTAAGAGAATGGACGTGGCTGTGTGCCAGTATTGTTTATGGGCACTGACATTGGAAAATCAAAATGTTTGAATGTCGTGAAATACTCTATTTTGACAAAATATTTCCACTGTTATATTCTAAGTGAATAGCTGAGGGCATCATCAGAGGTTTTTGTTTTCTGTAATTGATACTTTACTTTTCAGGATGGCTTTAGATTTATAGAATTCGGCAGATAGTAGTAGAGTTCTGTGTATTCACCCCACCTCTACCCTGCACACTTTCTCCTATTAAGGTCTTGTATTAAGCAACTTGAATGCAGCTAGAGGTCATCATACTAAGTGTATCACAGAAACAACTGAATACTGCATGTTCTCAGTCATAAGCGGGCCCTGAAGACTAGTCACACTAGCGCAAGGGTGGGATTGGCAGATACTGGACACTGCTGGGGGGGAGAGGGGGCTGTGACAACACACTGGCTACCTTGTTCACCATCAGGGGAGAGGGGGCCTGCTAGAAGCCTAAACTTCACCTTTGTGCAACCTACTTTTGTAGTAAGTCATCATATGTACCCAACAACTCAAAAGTTAAAAAATAATTTTTTTTGCATTAGTGATACATTTGTTAGAATTAATCAGCCAGTGTTGATGTGATTTTTTTTTCCTTTAAATTATTTTTAATTCTTGTGGATATTTGTTTTTAATAAACTTTAAGATACAAAATACTTTTTGATTCATGCGAAAGTTGTGATGATGGTACACATACCTCACACTTAGTTTCTCTTATTGTTAATCTCTTACATTAGTATAATATGCTTATCACAGTTGATGAGTCAACTCTGACACATGATCATCAACTGAAGTTCAGATTTTACTCAGGTTTTCTTAGTTTTTGCCTAATGTCCTTTCTGTTTCAGGATCCTATCTAGGATACCACATTTCACATAACCCTCATGTCTCCTTAGGCTCCTTGTGACTGTGGCAGCTTTTCAGACTTCGTTTTTGTTGACCTTGATAGTTTTGAGTAATACTGTTCATGTATTTTCTAGAATTTTTTCCAGTAGTGTTTATTTTAAGATGTGGGGTACAATTTAGGGTTAGGTACATAAGTGGTGATTGTACAGATAAATTTTAGGCCTCCCCTTTGTCCCCATTTTGCCTGGTTTACGGTTGGGTAAGATTATTAACTATAGTCCATAGTTTATGTCAACTTGTATAGTTCTATGAGTTTTGACAGGCATATAAGTGATATGTCTTATGTCAAAATTTATTTATCACTGAATATTCATTTGAATTTCTTCCCCCACCAGTTGTTTAAAAATTTAAGATCCATTTGTAGCTCAAGGGCTATACAGGGCAGGGCAGGGGGCTAGATGAGGCTGGGGGCCTTTAGCTGACCCCGCTTTGGAGTCTGGATCCTGGATACTGATGCTTGGCGACTTTGTAGGACTAGCACGTGCTCTCTGCGGTGAGGTTTTCTGCTTTCTGTCTGCCCTGTTCCTTTGTTTTCTAGCCTGAACTCTGTCCCTGGCACTGCGGGGGTTGGGACCATTTGTCTGCCCATCACCTGGTATCCCAGAAGGAAGCCTATTGGGTCACTTGTGACACATAACATCCCCTTGCACAGTTGATTTGATGATGTGACTCTTTACTGATGCCTCCCTGTGTGATGGGCAGTGCCTGAGCTCTGGCTGCTGGTGAAAACTGGCCCTTTCTGAGGGCTGTGACTGGGGCCCTGGTCCTGCTGGCCTCGGCTGGCAGCCCACACTAGTTGAGCTTCCTGGGGAGCACAGCATCCCTTCTCTTGCCTTGATGGGGGAAGTTGGACTTGCATGGGAGAGAGGCCTTGCTGTTGCTCAGCCCTGTTCTGTAGGCAGTGAGTGTGCTAACGGACAACCAAGGGGCACTGTGGAGGGATGCCTGGGGTCGTGGATAGTGGAGTGAGGTGACAGCTGTCATTCAGTGGTGGAGGAGTGTGCCTGGCACCTTTGTTTCGCAAACCGCTCTTCTGTGCTTTTGTTTCCCTAAGGTACATATGGAACCGGTGTGGCCAGCTGGCAGGGTAAGCCCTTTGGGGTGTGTGGGCCTCTGACCAGCCCCGAAAGTGGGTTGGGATTCAGGTACCCCATCTTAGCCATACCCATAGTTATCCTGAAGTCTGGATGGGCCAGGTCATTGGGGAGGTCTGGCGTAGAATTACTGGCTCTGATCATGAGGACGTGGTTGGACAGTTGGCCAGGGTTGCTGTTCTGAGCATGGAAAAGGCTGTTGCTGGGACAGCCTCAAGAGGAACTTGTTGGAAAGAGTTGTGGCTGTGTTGTGGGCACAGCTGCCCTTTGTGGGGTCTGTCAGCAGCTGAAACTGCCCTTCCTGGGCACTCAGCCACCTCTAGCTTTAGATGGGGGAAGAAGTCCTAGGATCTGGCACAGAAAACCCACTGTTGAGTGCTGAGGCCACCCCTACCTCTGGCTTCCTCGTGCTGCCTCTTGGCAGGTCATGAGCACAGTGTGGGGTGATGCCAGCAGCACTTGGTCCCACGGCCTCTCGTCGGTGGGCAGTGGGTCTTCCTCTCCAGGCGTGTCCTGGACTTTTGGCTGCTGGGGTCTGACTTGTCTCCTCCTCCTCGTGACAGGTTATGAAAACTATAATTATTATGGCACCCAGAACACCAGCGTCACCACAGGAGCAACCTACAGCTACGGCCCAGCCTCATGGGAGGCCGCCAAGGCCAACGATGGCGGCCTGGCAACCGGAGGCCCTGCCATGCACATGGCCTCTTATGGACCAGAGCCGTGCACTGACAATTCTGACTCCCTCATTGCCAAGATCAACCAGCGTTTGGACATGATGTCCAAGGAAGGAGGCAGGGGCGGGAGCGGCGGCGGTGGGGAGGGCATGCAGGACCGGGAGAGGTGATTATGGACCCGTGCCCTTCCTCTGGGACCCTGCACACCCACCTTTGTGCACATGGGAATGGGCATCTGCTCTTCAGGGAGGGCTCTTCGCCAACTCCCTCTTGGATTTGGCATTAAGGAGGGGGTTAGAGGTGTGGCGGGGAGGGGGTTAGAGGTGTAACAACAGGACTTTGTTGCTGGCTTCCTAAGTGGTGGGTCTTGGGGTGTGGTTGTTGGCTACCCCAGACTCCTTATTTTACATTAGGCCACTCTTGTGGCCAAGGGCTCTATGCCCCCTTTTCAGCAATGGTCCAAGGAGGGTATTGGTTTCTTTCGCCTTCTGAGCATTTAGGAGGGATGCATGCTTGCTTAGTATGCTGTTCTGAATGTAGGGAAGTCGGCTTGGTGGGGGAGGGAGGTATTGCAGAGGTGGGTAGCATGGACAGGGCCTCCAACCACCCCTGATGGGCTGTGCTTCCTTCGCAGCTCCTTCCGCTTCCAGCCGTTCGAGTCCTATGACTCCAGGCCTTGCCTGCCAGAGCCCAACCCCTACCGCCCCAGCTACAGCTACGACTATGACTTTGACCTGGGGTCTGACCGCAACGGCAGCTTTGGTGGGCAGTACAGTGACTGCCGGGACCCAGCCCGTGAGCGAGGCTCCCTGGATGGTTTCATGCGGGGACGGGGCCAAGGCCGCTTCCACGACCGCAACAACTCTAGCACCTTCATGCGCAGTGACCCCTTCATGCCACCTTCAGCTTCCTCTGAGCCCCTGTCTGCTCCCTGGAATGAGATGAACTATGTGGGTGGACGAGGCCTGGGAGGTCCCTCACCCAGCAGGCCACCTCCATCCCTCTTCTCCCAGTCCATGGCTCCTGACTACGGTGTGATGGGCATGCAAGGGGCAGGCGGTTACGACAATGCTTTGCCGTATGGATGTGGCCGGTCACAGCCCCGGATGCGGGATCGGGATTGGGATCGGGTAAGCCCTTACTTTTCTTAACATCTTTGTTGAGGTAAAATTTATATGCCACAAGATTCACTCACTTTTAAATATACAATTTGACTTTTAGCAAGTTTATAGAATTCTGCAACCATCACCAGTCTAATTTTAGAGCATTTCTATCAACCCCCAAAAGAAACCTCCCTCCATTATTAGTCATTCCCTGTTCTTTCCCTCCAGCACCTGACAATCACCAATCTGCTTTCTGTCTCTGTGAATTTGCCTGTTCTAGATGTTTCATATAAATGTAATCACACACAGCCTTTTGTGTCTGACTTTTTGAAAGATGTTCTCTGCTTGTGTTCTCTGATTCTACCACCTCACCATTCTTTGCCGCTGGCATCATAACAGTTCAGGTAAATGCTACATGAAATGTGCTTGTATCCACAGCCCAGGAGGAGAGGGTTTGACCGTTTTGGACCAGATGGCATGGGCAGGAAACGGAAGCCATTCCAGATGTATGAGGAACCGGATGCCAAGCTGGCCCGTGCTGACAGTGAAGGAGACTATTCTGAAAATGGTACATCCTGGGGTCCAGTTGGGCCAGGTGGGTGTAAGATGGGTCAGTTGCCTGCTTGATGCTCCGCCTGTCCTGTCCACACCATGAACACTTAAGGGTGACATGTTTAACTCAAACTCTCTCAGCCCTTACTGTGGTTAGGAAAGATTGCCACTCTGGACAGTGAGCTTAGGAGGGCTACAGTGTGAAGGGACCACTCTTAAGAGACTGATCTTTCCTATCCATTTGTGTCTGGCAGATGATGGAGCTGGTGATTTCCGGTCAGGAGACGAAGAATTCAGGGGTGTAAGTTGACGCTTTACCACTCCGCCCCCTTTGCCTCTAGTGCAGGGTTTCCTCAGAGTTTTCTATCTGCAGCACACATTCCCTTCCTGAAAAAAGCTTCCAGGGCTGTTCCAGTGCCAGGACCTAACTACCCTGCCAGTAGGCTGAGACAGTGTGGGCTGCAGCTGCCAAACGTACAGTGGAGGCTTGTGGAGGCTTGTCCGTTGCCAGCCGTGACCTGTGTTTGTACCCTTCAGTCCTCACTGCAAGGCACAGGAGGGCAGCATCTGAGGCTGGTTCTTAGCCAGGATCACCCCAAGCACCTGAGGAGGGTGCTTTTACCACCCTGGTGTCGATCTGATCCAAGTGGAGAGGCTTCCACCAGGAACTGTTGCTGGTCATATTGATGGGGGGTGGGCTCTTCAGCTCCTTTGAGAGTCTGATTTGCTCCCTGCTGGGTTTGCTTAGGTCTTGGGTCTGGGAATTTCTGCAAATCTGCCAGTCGCTAATTGAATCTTAGGGTTGCTGCCCAAGGAATTAGCTGTGTTCAGATGTCCAGTTAGATAAATCATTTTTTTCTACACCTGATTTGTTAAAACATTGGGTCATTATAAACAAATGCTTAGGAAACTTGGTGAAGCTCATTTTCTTTTTTGAGTTGGAATCTCACTGTGTCCCCCAGGCTGGAGTACAGTGGCACACTCACAGCCACCACAGTCTCAACCTGCTGGGCTCAGGTGATCCTTTCAACTCAGCCTTCCAAGTTGCTGGAACTGTAGGCACGCACCACTGCACTCGGTTAATTTTTAAATCTATTATAGAGACGACGTCTCACCAAGTTGCCCTGGCTAGTCTCGAACCCCTGGGCTCAAGCAGTCCTCTCGCCTCCACCTCCCAAAGTGCTGGGATTATAGGTATGAGCCACCATACCCGGCAAAAGCCTATTTTTCATTCTTTTTTTTTTTTTTTGAGTTAGAGTCTCACTCCGTTGCCCAGGCTGGAATGCAGTGACATGCTCGTGGCCACCCTAGAGTCGACCTGCTGGGCTCCGGCGATCCTTCTGCCTCAGCCTTCCAAGTAGTCGGAACTACAGGCACACACTACCATACCCAGCTAATTTTTTTTTAATTGTAGAGACAGGTTTTGCCATGTTGCCCAGGCTGGTCATGAACCCACAGCTCAGGCAATCCTCTCACCTCGGCCTCCCAGAGTGCTGGGATTACAGGCTTGAGCCACCACGCCCGGCCTCAAAGCCCATTTTCAATAAAGAATGCTGAAACTAGCACCCTGCAAGTCAGTGTTCCTTAACCTACAGTTGGTGAATGAGCTCTTGGTGTTCTCACTTGCAGAATTGTTTGCTGCGGGGCAGATAGTTCTGTAGCTTTAGAACTGAAAGAGGGTTAGTGACTTTTTAAAAAATCATTTTCATAGAATTTCTGATGGCAATCAATAGTAATAGGACACACAGGTCCCATTCCAAGGCCCTGACACATTGGCTTGTCTTGACAATGTGGCTCATTTCTCAGTGGCGCAGCAACCAAGTCTAGGGTGAGACCACCCACTGGGCAGTGGCAGGGGGCTGGGATAGTTGCAGAGAATTCTGGAAAACACTACCTCACTGCCCGACTTTGCATGTGTTCTTTTTCAGGAGGAGGAATTTGGCGACTCTGGGAGGCAGAGAGGTAAGTGTTACTCGGTGTCCCTTGCAGCTTTCCTGTGTCTACTCTTTACTCACTACCCAGCTCCCAGCCTAGTGGGCTTCTGAGCAAACCAGGGGACCTGGATGGAGGGGCCTATGGCTTTGGGAGGAGACGTGGCTGCAGCCACTGGGTGGGCCTTGGCCATGGTGATCACCTGAAGCTTTGTTTCAAAGTGTCTGGAGCAGCATTGGCTGGAAATAAGTCCATTTGCCTCCCTCGATGCTGGGTGGAGGGGAACCCATCATGGATATCCACACCAGCTCATGGTGGTAGGGAGAGTCTCAAACAGAAGAGAGAAGAGAGCCTTCTGGCGCATCTTCTGTGTGTCCCTCGATCAGTCTTCTGGGCTTCATTCTGTCCATTTCCCTCAGTTACCCCCTAGGGCCTTTACCATGGGGATACTGGTAACTGCAGTGTGCATTGCTGTGTGCCCGTGGGTGGGACTGAGAGTGAACACCTGTAGGTTTGGGAGCACTTGGTGGGATTGTACCCAGGCTTGCCACATCCTCATGAGGCAGTCATTCCTCAGCAGGTCTCATCATTTCCAAAACAGGGGACCTAAGAGTCCAGAATAAGTGGCAAGAGCAGACCAAGGGAGAAACCCTTTGAAGGAACATGGCGAAGTGGACTGAAGTGCCGTGGCCTTCAGCTCACCCAGAAGCCACTTGTTTCTTTCCCTGTTTCCATGGGTCTTTCCATACCTGGTTACCCCAGGGGTCACAAGTTGGCTCCTTCATGGCTCTGCTCCTGCAAAATCTAAAGGCCTTAAAGGCTTAGATGCTCCTCCTCTTATGTTTTCAGGCTTAGATGACCCTCTGCGGTCCTCCCCTTATATGTGGAAGCAGTTCTGTCCTTAGCATGGGACCATACCGAGCATTTAGCAGCTCGTGCAGCGGGGCAAATGCTAAAGCAAAGGTGACATGTTTATTGCGCGCAGGTCCTGCTACCTACCCGGGATGACTTTGCTATTAAACAGCAGTCATAGTTTCAGGCAGTGACCTCTTGCCAAAAATCCCACACGCCCTTTTGAGAGGCTTCTGAGCAGCGCACGCCGGTCGCCATCTTCGTGGGACAGTCTCTGGACTGGCATCAGGGGTAGGGGTTACAGTTCAGATGCTTATCCAACCTTTTTTCAGCATCCGGCCCTGGCCCTGAGCCTCAGGGACCCAGCCTGGCCTCACACTGGGACGATGGCTGCAAGGCTCTCCGAGGAGCTTCTGCGCTGGCCCCAGGGGATGGACGGGAGGACCAGTTGGTCTCTTCCCATTTTTGTTTCTAGGATTGCTTCCCACGCAGCCCTGGGAAAGCCCTAGCTTGATGGTTTTGTGAGTGGAAGATAGAGGTTGGGCCAGCAAGGACTGTCAGACCTGCTGAGGCCCTAGTTCAGATGAGGCCGACGGGACGCACGTCACGGTCCACCTAGAGGTGGAACAGAGGGCGGTAAAGTGGCTTGCTTCATTCCTGAGGCTTTCAGCTGATGCCTCTTTACCTGGGGAGAATTGGCTTCTCTCTCCTGAAGTGAGAAGACCCCATGGCAGGGCACTAATTAGACAAGCAGGATGGGGAAGGACAGAGCAGGGGGCCACAGTGCACGTGGGATGGGCAGGCTGTGTCCCTTGCCCGTCCTGGCCTTCTCAGGCTGTTGGGATTGAGGTGACTCCTCTGGGTTTTCACCCAAGGCCTGTGTCCATAGGGAGCCCTTGATGGTGCCTCAGGGTGTCCTGACCCTGCCAAATCATGGAGGTGGCAGCAGGGCACCGGGTGCAGCAGCCAAGAGGCAGCCCCCGACAAGGCCTCTGCAGGTGCCTCGGAGCGTCTCAAAGGACCTTATCTGTTACAGGAGAGAAGGACGATGAGGATGAGGAAGTAAAGAAGAGAAGGGAAAAGCAAAGGCGGAGAGACAGGATGCGGGACAGAGCAGCCGACAGGTGAGGAGTGGGCATAGTCCCCATTGAAGGTGGCTGAACTTGGGCACTGTTGAGGCTCTCCCAAGCTTATCTGTCTTTGCTCCATAGTGCAAGGGTGTCTGGTATTGTCTGACTCCAGGTGTAGGTTGGAAAATTTTATGCAAGTTGGTGGCAGACAGAACTTGGGCAATGAGTTAGGAATGTGGAAAAGACCTTTGCTCTTCATTCTCCCAGCATGTAACCTGCCTGTCCTCTCAGTCATTGCTTTGGCAAAGAAAGGCTTCTGTTCCTTCTCAGAGAACCTGTGTCTAGCCAACTATATCTCACATCTCTCTCCTCTAGAATCATAGCCTTGCTAGTGGGTCTGTGTGGCACATATGTGCTCAGCAGGGGGTTCCTTCTCTCCATCAGGCCTGAGGGGTGTCCCTGTTCCCTGGCTTGGTGCCTGGCATCCCAGACAAGTGACCTTCGCTTAGCAGAGCTGCTAAGAAAGTGCTTTTGGATACCCTGTTTAAATGTAATCCATCTCTGGAGCTTGAGACTGCAAGTGTATGTGTATAGAGATGATGCTAACACCAGAATTTTGTCTGGAAAGAGAAATAGAATGTCCAGAGAGTGTGATCACACCATGGACCTGCCTTTCCCTGTTCAGTGATTAAGTGGTTTCTGACTAGCAACTGAAATCACCATTGACCATGTGAGCACCTTGACCTTGATGCTTATGATGAGACAGTGATTTTCCAGTGCAAAGGAATGCTTAACATAGCCAGGTGTAGTAACTTATGCCTATAATCCCAGCAGTTGGACGCCAAGGCAAGAGAATCAGTTAAGACCAGAAGTTTAAGACTAGCCTGGGCAACACAGTAAGACCCATCTCTCCAAAAAAGTTGTTAAAAAATCAGCAAGCATGGTAGCATGTGTCTCTAGTCCCAGCTACTTGGAAGACTGAGGCAGTAGAATGGCTTGAGCCCAGGAATTGGAGGCTGCAGTGAGCTATAATTGTGCCACTGCACTTCAGCCTGGGCAACAGAACGAAACTTTCTCTTTATTTAAAAAAAAGAAAAAAAAAAGAAACCTTAGCAAAAGAACTAACAGTATAGTCTGGGAAGCCAAGAATCAAAACACAGAAGCATTTCTTCTTAAATGATACAGAAACTCATCATGTTTTTTGAGTTGGAGTCTCACTCTGTTGCCCAGATGGGAGTGCAGTGGCATGCTCCCAGCCACCGCAGCCTCGACCTGCTGGGCTCCTGCGATCCTTCTGCCTCAGCCTTCCAAGGAGCTGGAACTATAGGCATGTGCTACCATTCCCAGCTAATTTTTGATTTATGTAGAGACGAGGTCTCACCAAGTTGCCCAGGTGGGTCTTGAACCCGCGGGCTGAGGCAATCCACTCGCCTTGCCCTCCCAAAGTGCTGGGATTATAGGCTGAGCCACCAAGCCTGGCCAACCCTTGTTAAATGGATAAATGATGGCTAAGTTAGAACAATTATGTCACATGAAAACTGCAATTACATTTTTCTTTTTTTTTTTTTGAGTTGGAGTCTCACTGTCGCCCAGACTGCAGTGCAGTGGCCACTCCTAGCCACCGCAGCCTCGACCTGCTGGGCTCCAGCGATCCTTCCGCCTCAGCCTTCCGAGTAGCCGGAATTATAGGCATGCGCTACCACGCCCGGTTGATTTTTTGATTTATTGTAAAGATGACGTCTCACTGCCCAGGCAGGTCTCAAACCCACGGGCTCAGGCAATCCACTCACCTCAGCCTTCCAAAGGCACGGGATTACAGGCTGAGCCACCGAGCCCGGCTTCATTTTCTTAAAAAGAAGCCTTTAGACTCTGCATTAGTGACCAAAGACCTCAAAGGGACTTTAGAGAAATTGTTATGGGGGAGATAAAAGATACAGCAGAAAGGTGCAAATCCCTGATCGCTCTGTGATAGGACCTGGGAGATTATCCTCTTCACTCTTTTGGGGCTTGTCTGCCAAAGCAAGTGTCTTATGGTACTTTGTCAGGGATCAGAAACCAGGGGTCGGGGAGTTGGCAGAACTGTGAGTTTCCAAAGGAGGAATCCTGATAGCCAGCACCTCTACCCCAGAAGGGCTGGCGCCTCCATGGTAAGAACACCCCACTGTGGAGGGCTGCAGGCTGGTTTCCTCTCACTAAACAATGGAATTCCATTTGGTGAGACTTGGAAAGCACATGGCAAAGAAGCTTCCTTTTTTTTTGAGTAGGAGTCTCACTGTTGCCTAGGTTGGAGGGCAGTGGCACACTCAGCGGCCACCGCAGCCTCAACCCACTGGGCTCAGGCAGTCTTTCCATCTCAGCCTTCCAAGTAGCTGGAACTGCAGGCACATGCCACCATGCAGGGCTAATTTTTAAAAAATTTATTGTAGAGATGAGAGGTCTCGCCAAGTTGCCCGTGCTCAGGCAATCTGCTCACCTCAGCCTCCCAGAGTGCTGGGATTATAGGTGTGAGCCACTGTGCCCGGCCAAAGATGCCTTTTTGTTGAGTCCCATGGGAAAACTAATCTTGGGTTATGTGAGTTTTGAATTGTGCAGGGTCTTCAAGAATTTGTTCTTCTAACAAAGTGAAGTTGCCTTGCGTTGTCCCAGTACTGCGAGAGAATCCTGTCAGAGACGCTATGGGGTTTCATACTGGGCCCCCAGAGCAGTCAGCCAGCGCTTAGGAGTTCACAGGAGGGTGTTCTCATGAGGGCCGTGGGGCCAGGGAAACTGGAATGGCAGGAAATGGCCATGTGGATCATTTTCCTGAAGTCCTTGCAGGGCCACATTCTCACTTTTCAGCTGGGAAAGTTTGGGTAACTGCTGCTCTGACACCCTTTGAGAAGATAGAAGTCTTGGTTCAGAAACTGCTTTCCTGCTTCCCCTTCAGCCCTACCCAGAGGTGAGCTGGTTATCTCCACCTCACTGCTCTCATGTTCCTTCTTCAGGATTCAGTTTGCCTGTTCTGTGTGTAAGTTCCGTAGCTTTGAAGATGAAGAAATCCAGAAGCATCTGCAAAGCAAATTTCACAAAGAGACGCTGCGGTTTATAAGTACCAAGTTACCTGACAAGACGGTGGAATTCCTGCAGGTAAAGAACGCTTGGCCTCTGGATTTTGCACACACCAGATCCCTGGCAGAGAAGGGAAGGGGAAGGAAGTCAGAGGTGTAAACCTGGTCCAGGTTTTTCTTACCAGAGTAAAACAGTAGTATATCCCTGAGTCACTGAGCAACAACAGAAAGCTCCAGCCATCATAGTTCCCACTAGTGCTGCCCTGATAGCTGTCTGCCCACCTTCAGGGTAGCTGAGGAATGTCCACACATGCTGTCCACACATTTTATTTGGCACCGTCTCCCAACCCCTCTAGGAATACATTGTAAACAGGAATAAGAAAATTGAGAAGCGGCGTCAGGAATTGATGGAGAAGGAAAGCACAAAACCAAAACCTGATCCTTTCAAAGGTGAGTGGTGATCCTCAGGTACATGCTGTCCTGGATGGTAGGAAGGTAGGTAATGTGACCCTTAAAAGCTGGTGCAGAGTACAGGGCTGCTGAGAATGTGAAGTCAAGACCTGTAGGAAGAGTACTTGGCAGTGGAAGGAAACCTCAAGTGTGGCCTCATGTAGGTGACAGCTCCACAGGCAGCTTATCAGGGTGATGTTGAGCATTCTGATGTCTTTCCCCCCTTGTTTTGAAGAGAAAGAACCAGAAGGATGAGAAAGGGTGAAGTGCAAAATTTCCATATGCAGCTGTTCTGACCCCACACTCCCGTCTCAGATCCTATCCTAACTGAGTCCTTAGAGTTGCAGGGAGAAAACATGGCCCTTGTTGGCGGGGAGGAGGAAGGATCTCTTGATGTCCCAAATCTCTAAAGACTTGCGTTTCATCCTAGGGATTGGCCAGGAGCACTTCTTCAAGAAGATTGAGGCAGCCCACTGCCTGGCCTGCGACATGCTGATTCCTGCACAGCACCAGCTTCTCCAGCGGCACCTGCACTCTGTTGACCACAATCACAACCGCCGGGTAAGTCCAAATGTGGGAGCCTGGGGTGAGCTTTCTGGGGCTGTTAGAAGTGGGATTCAGGACATTGTGTGTCTTAACTGGGAATGTTAACACTTTAGGGTCTCTTGCTATATTTGAGTCTTTAATCACTTCATCGATTATAAGATCCTCTCAGTTTCCCTGAAGCTGTGAGAAAATGTATTAGACTTTATTAAGTACAGTAGCCATGGCCATGCTTGATGGCTCACTCCTGTAATCCCAGCACTTTGGGAGGACTGCTTGAGTCCAGGAGTTTGAGGCCAGCCTGAACAACATAGTATCCCGTTTTAAGTGACCCTGTCTCTTAAAGAAAAGAAAGTAAGAAAACAAAACATGGTAGCCAAGATTCTCATGATTTGAGAATGTTCCCTGTAAACTGCACAGGTCAGCTCCCCAGTTACTGAAAACCTGTGGCCAGCCCAGGCAAAGTAGAGTGGCCAGGGGCACCTAGGTGAAAGGACCGGCTTGATCCTTTTACCAGCTGATGGGGCTCAAGGCTAAATGGTTAGCCCGGGGCCCTGTACGTTTTTTTGTAAAGAGTCAGACCATAAATATTTCTTGCCTTGCAGGTTGCAGGGTCCCTGTCTAGTGACAACTGTTGTCATTCATGTTCAAAAGCAGCCACAGACTGCAAGGAGTAGGTGTGGTGTACCTGGTTCACCGGCTGTAGCTTGCTAACGGCTGGTTTGGCATCTCTATCCTTGGTTAACCCAACTATTAAATGGAGCTATGAATAGCTGCCCACCCATCTCACTATTAAGGACTCATTAAAGATCAGCTGAAAAGCACTATACAAACAAGGGGCTATTGTCTGAACAAGGCAGGATCTGAAACAGTCAAATGGTTGGCACATTCATATTTTGGTTAACGAACTTACTGTAAAGCCAGTATTACCCAAAGAACTGAAAGAGCTTGCCCTTTCCCCTTAGTTAGCCCACACATTTCTAATATGTAAAGGCTTTTGTTTCACCCTTGAATCTCCACATAGTTCATAGATATCAGTGGTATGTCCGTGCTGTTATCTTTTAGGATTATCAAACTTTTTCACATTGTTTCACAGTCTTAATTGCAAAGTCTCTCTGGAGCCTTCTTTCTGTCACTCACAGAGCCTGGCATTTTGAGATTTGCCTTGGTGTGCGGCTGATCTGAAGACAACTTGGCACAGCCTGGCTGATTTCTTAACTTGCTTTTTGGCCATTTTTTAAAAAGCCTACATGCTTCCCTTTGCAGTTGGCTGCTGAACAGTTCAAGAAAACAAGTCTCCATGTGGCTAAGAGTGTTTTGAACAACAGACATATAGTGAAGATGCTGGAAAAATACCTCAAGGTTGGTGCTTGGGAGTCCAATGAACAGGAAAAGCTTTTGAAATGGAGGGTGAACTCTGTGATCATGGAATTAATCCAAAGTGCAGGATTTAGGATTTCTGATTCTTCTAACCGATTAAGAGATGCTGGAATGAATCAGGCTTGGGAACGTGACAACTAGGGATTTCCGATGACTCGGTCCAAGGAGTCTGGGATGTGGTGCTTTGATTCATCAGTGTGTAATGGTGGGGACTCTCACTTACTGTGCCCAGCAGTAAGGTGTTTGTTTTGTTTTGTCTTGTGAGTTGGAGTCTCATTCCATCACTCAGGCTGGAGTGCAGTGGCACACTCACGGCTACCCCAGCGGTGACCTGCTGGGCTCCGGTGATCGTTTCACCTTAGCTTTCCAAGTAGCCAGAACTATAGGCGCACCTGCTACCACACCGGGCTAATTTTTTTTTTTTTGAGTTGGAGTCTCACTCTGTCGCCCAGGCTGGAGTGCAGTAGCACGCTCCCAGCCACCGCAACCTCGACCTGCTTGGCTCAGGTGATCTTTCTGCCTCAGCCTTCCAAGTAGCTGGAACTACAGGCGCGCGCTACCACACCCAGCTAATTTTTTTATTTATTGTAGTGAGATGCTCTCACCGTGTTGCCCAGGCTGGTCTCGAACCCGTGGTGTCAGGCAGTCCTCTCACCTCAGCCTCCCAAAGTGCTGGGATTATAGGCATGAGCCACCTCGCCTGGCCTATTTTTTTTTTATTGATTGTAGAGACGGGGGTCTTACCAAGTTGCCTAGGCTGGTCTCGAACCCACAGGCTCAGGCAGTCCTTTCACCTCAGCCTCCCAAGGTACTGGGATTACAGGCTTGAGCCACTGTGCCAGCCAAGGTGTTTAAAAAAAAGAAATCCAGCCGGGCTCGGTGGCCCAGCCTGTCATCCCGTGCCTTTGGGAGGCTGAGGTGAGTGGATTGCCTGAGCCCGCGGGTTCGAGACCCACCTGGGCAGCGAGACCTCATCTCTACAATAAATTTAAAAAATCAGCCGGGCGTGGTAGCGCATGCCTGTAATTCTGGCTACTTGGAAGGCTGAGGCGGAAGGATCACCGCAGGTCGAGGCTACGGTGGCCAGGTGCGGCCACTGCACTCCAGTGTGGGCGACAGAGTGAGACTCCAACTCAAAAAAAAAAAACCCCCCCAAAAAAAATCCAACCATGCTCAGTGGTTCATGCCTGTAATGCCAGCACTTTGGGACATGGAGGAGAGAAGTGCCTGAGCCCAGCGGTTCAAGACCAGCCTGGGCAACTTGGTAAGACTTAGTCTCTAAAATAAATTTAAAAATTAGCTGGGTGTGGTGGCATGTACCTGTAGTTTCGGCTACTTGGAAGGCTGAGGTGGAAGGATTGCCTGAGCCCAGCAGGTCGAGGCTGTGGTAGCCATTAGTGTGTCACTGCATTCCAGCGTGGGTAACATAGTTGAGACTCCAACTAAAAAAAAAAAAAAAAAAAAAAAAAAAATCCAAGGCAGCCCTACTTGGGAGGTTGAGGCAGGAAGATTGCTTGAGTCTATAAGAGTTTGAGGCTGCAGTGAGCTATGATTGTGCCTATGAATAGTCACGGTACTCCAGCCTGGGCAACACAGCAAAACCCCATTTCTTAAAACAAAATTCAAAGCAGATAATTATCTAAAAGAGAGGCTTAAAAGATTTCACTGGCAGAGCCAGCCAACAGTGAGAGCAGATGAAATAGGGAAGAGGCAAAGATGCCACAACTACTCTAAGCCTTCGTGATGGGAACAGGGTGATAAAATGTCCCAGAGTTAGGTGCTCATGGAGAGAGAAGTCTGGTTGGAAGAACCCTTGGTTTCTTCCTTGGGGAGCTCACTTTGCTCAGTGCTCATCTAAGGTTTTATGTATTGGGGCTGGTTGCTATGCCTCAGCCCATGGTCTGACTTTAGAACCTGTTTGCCCTTTTCTCAGTTACTAAATGCTTTAGTATTTGACAATGCATTCCATCTGTTAAAGGCACAGAATCTATGTAGCCAATTTAAGGAATATGTCTGATCAGGCCAGGCACAGTGGCTCATGCCTGTAATTCCCATACTTTGGGAGGCTAAGGCAGTACTGCTTGAGCTCAGGAATTCGAGACCAACCTGGGTAACATAGCAAGACCTCATCTCCACACAAAAAAAGGAAATATTAGCTGTGTGTAGTGATGTGCACCTCTGAGTCCCAGTTACATGGGAGGCTGAGGCAAGAGGAGGTCGAGGTTGCAGTGAGCTGGATCATGGTACTGCACCCCATCCTGGGCAACCCCTAATTCAGAAAGTTAAAAAAGAAAGATAAATGTCTAATCAGTATTGTGCCTTTACAGCTTAAACAAGTTTCTGGAGTCTAGTGTAGACCGCGCCTGGCAGTTGCGTGACTTTTAAAAGAAAAAGGCTTTTTAAAAAAATCAGGTTAAGAGCCGGGCATGGTGGCTCAAGCCTGTAATCCCAGCACTGTGGGAGGTGGAGGTGAGAGCCTGAGCCTACGGGTTTGAGACCAGCCTGGGCAACGTGGTGAGATCTTGTCTTTACAATTAAAATTAGCTGGGTGTGTACACACCTGTAGTTCCAGCTACTTGGAAGGCTGAAGTGGAAGCATCACCTGAGCACAGCAGGTCGAGCCTGGGCGACAGAGTGAAACTCCAACTCAAACAAACAAAAAGGTTAAGAAATCTTAGGTATTTTGGCACCTTTTTTCTTTTATTTTTTGAGTTCAATTCCTGGACTCAAGCAATCCTCCTGCCTCAGCCTCCTGAGTGACTGGGTCTGTAGATGCACACCACCATACCTGGCTAATTTCTTTTTTTATGTTTTGTAGACAGGGTTTTGCTATATTGCTCAGGCTTGGAACTTTTTCATGGGTATATCCTTAAATAAAAGGTGCAAAATAGTTCTGATGAAGCTTTTCTGGGATGTCTTTTCTGAATCTAAGAGCCCATAAGATTAAGTCACAGATGTAGTTTACATAAGTGGACTCTGCAGATTCTAGAAACATGAACTTTCAGCAGCCTGGGCCTTCTTTGACCTTTGGTTAGACCACATTGAACTTTGTTTCCTCTTTGGCCAGGGTGAGGACCCTTTCACCAATGAAACTGGTGATCCAGAAATGGAAGGAGATGACAATGTAGGAGGTGAGGATAAGGAAGAGACACCTGAGGAGGTGGCTGCAGAAGTCTTGGCCAGCGTGATCACGGCGGCAGTGAGGGCTGTGGATGGGGAAGAAGCACCAGCAGCAGAGAAGGGTGAGGTGACCGCTGAAGAGGATGGCTCCGTGGACACGGCAGAAGCCAGCAGTGACCTCCAGGCTGAACAGCTGCCAGAAGACAAGCAGCCCTGTGGAACAGCATCTGAGATGGGGACCACAGAGGCTGGAAGTGAGGTGGAGACACTGGCAGCAGAGGCAGAAAGTGCCAGAACAGTCACTGCTCCTGCCCCAGATGCCACAGAAGCTAAAATGGAACAAACTGATGCAGAGTCCAAAGATATTCCCACAGAATGAGCCTCCTCTCCCTGTTTCAAGGGATGTACTACATAACATGTTGCTCTTTCTTCTTTGGTTTGTAAGCAGTACTAGGGTGTTGTTTCTGAAATAGGCTGTAAACTAATTTTGGTAAAGTGACCAGCCATTTTCCTCTGAACAGTGTGCCTCATGGGCTGCTCTTGGACAGTTGCGTGGCTTCTCTCCTGGGTATGAAAACAGAAGTCGTACATTCCCCCAAGCAGCCATGACATGTCTCTACACTGCAGTTGGAATAAGTAAAAGTTGGGTATTAGATCTTGATGATGATACTTGGTAAATACAGTTGCAGGCCGAGTGCCTCCTTTGAATTTTTTTTTTTTTTGGTTGGGAACAGCTCAACACTAAGAATATATCTTGCTTCATAAAGGGTTTTTTTGTTTTAAATTTTCAGCATTGCTTTGGCTTGAGTTTTTGACCTCTGCTTTTGTAGCACACTCTGGTGTGTCCCTCACAAGATGTGGTAGCATCTCATTACATGTGATGCTTGTTATGTCACGTCAGGGAACTCTGTTAAAGGTCTGCAGAGGCTGACAGGCCTCCCCACTGGAAGCACACCTACTTGACCCTCATAAATGGAGAAACTGTGTGGGGCATCATTTCTCAATCTCCAGTCCTTGATGAATCACTTAGAATATTTTACCTCATTTATGTTTCACCTCTAGATTACTTCAGGTTTTTCCCCTTTAAATTGAGTTACTCCCATTGAAATGTATCTCGAAAGAAAATTTGCTGTAACCTCCATAGATAGAAAACCAGTATAAATTGCCATAGATAGAAGCTATCTGTACAAAATTAATATAAGGAAATAAACATGTTTCATTTAGATAAGTACTATTTCTTTGGAAGTTTCTGCATCTGTCAGAACGGGAGGCTAGCATGTATTAAAGGGTAGCACATGACACATACTTTCACAAAACTAGAATTGGAAGGTCCTCTTGAAATCCTGCAGTTTCCCTGTAACCCTTTGACCTGCAGACATCTCACATTTGGGGAAACATTGGCCAGGGGGAAACTTAGGATAAAGGCAGTAAAGTATTTGATGGGCATCTATCGTATACTAGGTGCTAACTTGATAAAAAATTCTAAGATGTATGCACTGCTCTCAAGGAGCCTTACTGGAGGTGAGAGGTAAATATGAAAAAGTCAACTAAAGATGGAAATAAACTGCTTGGGGTTGGCGGGGAAAAAAGAAATAAACCATTCAATGAGAAAATGGTGCCTCTGAATCATTTCTGCTTGTCATTCCTTAGTGCTGCATAGATGTGTCTTACGTGGCATTGAATATCAGCGGTGTGAAAGAATGAACTGCTTTACTTTTTTTTTTTAAATCCAAGGCATTAAATCAGTCCAAGTGTCAAAGAGGCTCTTCTACCCTCCACTCCACTCCTTGTGAAACTACACAAATTTAAGAGATGGGTCTGGCTCTGTCACCCAGGCTAGAGTACACTGGTGTGATCATAGCTCACTGCAGGCTTGAACTTCTGGGCACCAGTGATCATCCTGCTTCCGCCTCCTGAGCAGCTGGGATTACAGCTGCAAAGCCACCACACCCACCTTCCATGAATCATTTTACTCTTCCTATACTTGGGGTTAAACCAGGCTCTCATTCCCAAAGATGGAGAGTAACTACTTGAACTGCACAAATGGGATGCTCTTATATTCCCTGAAGTGACAGGAATAAGTTGTAAGCCGCCTCATGGAAAGGAGGGAAACTAGGCTGCGTGCAGCAGCTCACCTCTAATCCCAGCATTTGGGGAGGCCAGGGTTGAAGGATTGCTTGAGTCCAGGAGTTTGAGATCAGCCTGGGCAACGGAAGAACCTCCTCTCTACCAAAAAAACTAGAAAGGTATGGTGGCATGCACTTGGAGTCCCAGCTACTCAGAAGGCTGAGATGGAAGGATCACCTAAGCCTAGGAGGTCAAGACTGCATGAGCTATGATCATCACAACTGTAAGACAATGACAAAAAAGAAAAAAGGCCAGGTGCAGTGGCTCATGCCTATAATCCCAACAGAAGGCTGAGGCAGGAGGATCACTTGAGCCCAGGGGTTCAAGACCAGCCTGAGCAATATAGCGAGATCTTGTCTCTACAAAATTATCAAAAAATAAGCCAGGTATGGTGGCATGTGCCTGTAGACTGTAGAACCAGCTACTCAGGAAGTGAAGGCTATGGTGAACTGTGTTCATGCCACCACTCCAGCCTGGGCAAGAGAATGAGACCTTAATGCAAAAAAAAAAGTAAATAATAAAAATAGGGAAACTAATAATGATTATTTCCTCCATTTAGAGGAGAAACCTGCAGGAGGTTAAGTGACTTTCAGAGTCATATATCAAAGGTGTGGGGGTGCCAAGTTATACACGGGTCATGAGACGCAACTAGCCATGAATTTTCCACAGAGCACCTTTATTACTTAAAAACATTTGAAAAATTTGACAATTCCTGCTTCTGTTCCTAAGTAAAAACTCACTGGCATGGTGGCCTAATTTTAACTTCATATTAGTCATACTGCGGTCCTGTGTGATTTCATTGGGTTTCCATAAAATTAGTAGTTGCCAAAGGGAAAACAAAGCAATGTAACAAGGAAAGTGTTAATTCACATATACATAATCACTAGTATAGTTAAATTGTCCTCAATTAGATTTTTGACCTTAAGGAAATAATCCTTGGGCTGATGCAGTGGCTCACACCTATATTCCCAACACTTTGGGAGGCTGAGGCAGGAGCAATGCTTAATTTGAGACCAGCCCAGGCACAGCAAGACTCCCATCTCTAGTTTAAAAAACAAACAAGCCGGGCTCAGTGGCTCAGCCTGTAATCCTGCGCCTTTGGGAGGCTGCGGTGAGTGGATTGTCTGAGCCTGCGGTTCGAGACCCGCCTGGGCAGCGAGACCTCATCTCTACAATAAATCAAAAAATCAGCCGGGTGTGGTAGCGCATGCCTGTAATTCCGGCTACTGAGGCGAAGGATCGCCAGAGCCCAGCAGCCACTGCACTCCAGTCTGGGTGACAGAGTGAGACTCCAACTCAAAAAAAAAAACAAACAAAAGCCAGGTATAGTGGCTCACACCTGTAATACCAGCACTTTGGGAGGTGGAAGCAAGAGGACTGCCTGAGTCCAAAGGTTTGAGACCAGCCTGGATAAGTTGGTGAGACCTCGTCTCTACAATAAAACAAAAAATTAACTGGGTATGGTGGCGCACACCTGTGGTTCCAGCTACTTGGAAGGCTGAGGCAGAGGGATCAGCTGAGTTCAGCAGGTCAAGGCTGCAGTGGCCATGAGCATACCACCCACTCCAGCCTGGGTGACAGAGTGAGACTCCAACTCAAAAAAAAAAAATTAGTTGGGCATGGTGGTACATACCTGTAGTCCCAGATATTCAGGAGGCTGAGGTGGAAGAATCACCGGAGGCCAGGAGGTTGAGGCTGCGGTAAGCCAAGATTAAACCACTATAGGCCTGTCAAAACACTACTTGTTGAGTGTATACTCTATAAAAAAGAAATTAGAACTCAGATCAGGGGACAAGATGGTGGGGTAGGGAACAATCGACCCAGCCTCACTGAAAGAGGTGCTAAGATTTATATAACAAAAAATGAAGCATTAACTTTTTTTGGAGTCAGAGTCTCACCCTGTCACCCAGGCTGGAGAGCAGTGGCATAATCACAGGTCACTGTAGCCTCAACCTCCTGGGCTCAGGCAATCTTTCAACCTCAGCTTCCCAAGTAGCTGGGACTATAGATGCGTGCTCTCAAACCTGGCTTATTTTTAAAAAAAACATTTTTGGTAGAGATGGGAGTCTTGCTATGTTGCCCAGGGCTGGTCTCAAACTCCTGAGCTCAAATAATCCTTCTGCCTCAGTCTTCCAAAGTACTAGAACTACAGGCACACACCACCATACCTAGTTAATTTTTTACTCTTTTTTTTTTTTGTGTAGAGAAGGGGGTGTCTTGCTATGTTGCCCAGGATGGTTATGAACTCCTGGGCTCAAGCAATCCTCCCTCCTCAGCCTTACAAAGTGCTGGAATTACAGGCATGAGCCACTGTGCCTGGCCACCATTAACTATTTTGAAGTGAACAACTCAGTGGCATTTGGCATACTCACAATGTTGTGCAACTATTTCTTATAACTAGTGTTACAAGAAAAACATTAGACAAATTTAACAGAGCTAGCCGGGCTCGGTGGCTCAGCCTGTAATTCCGCATCTTGGGAGGCTGAGGTGAGTGGATTGCCTGAGCCCACGGGTTCGAGACCCGCCTGGGCAACTTGGTGACACCTCATCCCTACAATAAATCAAAAAATTAGCTGGGCATGGTAGTGCATGCCTGTAATTGCAGCTACTTGGAAGGCTGAGGCGGAAGGATCGCCGGAGCCCAGCAGGTCGAGGCTGCGGTGGCCAGGAGCGGTCACTGCACTCCAGTATGGGCAAGAAGAGTGAGACTCCAACTCAAAAAAAAAAAAAAAAAAAAAATTAACAGAGCTTAATATTATTGAGCAAAGAAAGATTTGTGAACTCAGCAGCCCCCAGAACCAGATATGTTCAGAGCAAGTCTGGGGCTGCCACATGGTTAAATAATACTTATGACAGAACAAAGAAGTGAGGTACAGAAAAAAGCTGCGTTGGTTACAGCTCAGCATTGGTCTTAGCTGAACACAGTTTGCACAGCTGGCTATCTGCAATTGACCAAAACTCTGTAATTGGTACGAGAGTAGGTTACAGTCTGTTGACGCATCCAGTTAAGTTACAGTTCACTGTGTATGGAGCAACCTTCAGGTTGAACTTAAAAATATGCAAGGAAACACTGGGGATGGTGGCTCACGCCTGTAATCCCAGCACTTTGGGAGGCTGATGCAGGAGGGTTGCTTGAGCCCAGGAGTTCGAGACCAGCCTAGACAACACAGCAAGACCCCCATCTCTACAAACGCGGGGTGTGCTGGTGTGCACCTGTAGTCTCAGCTACTTAGGAGGCTGACAGGGAGGATC